AGAGCTGTTACGAGAACGTGGTTTGGCGATTAGCGGTAATAAAAGTGATCTGGTAATTCGTTTGCTGGAAGCCGATCCCGGTTTGGAGCATGGCGTGCTGGTACAACCAGAACCAAATTTTGAAGATGCCAGAACGGACGAATTGGAGTTAACAGGTTCGCAGATGAACATAAATTTGTTAGAAAAGGAAAGAGAATTATTGCGAAGAGAACGTGAACTATTGGGACTGGAAAAACGATTATTCCAAAGAGAATGTGTGTCGCCAGTTAGTGGTTCCACAAACACGCAACTGTCTGCTAGTTTAAGCATGATCTCAGAAATGTTGAGAGAATTTAATGGTGAGTCGTACGATTTTGAAAATTGAAAACAACAGTTAGAAACTTTACGCACATGTTATCAGCTGGATGATAATTCAGTTAATATTTGGATGAATTTGAGATTAAAGGGAAAAGCCCTTAAATGGGTTCAAACAAAACCAAATTATCTTGTTTTGTCTGCCACTCAATTACTCGAAGAAATGAAGTTGGTTTTCGATCACCGCCCAAGTAAACTCGCACTACGTAGAGAAATAGAGATTCGAACATGGAACAGAAACAAGACGTTCTACGATTATTACCTTGAAAAAATGATTCTAGCGAATAGAATTAATGTCGATCCAGAAGAATTGGTAGATTTATTAATTGATGGTATCCCGGACATACGGTTGAGGGATCAAGCACGTATGAACTGCTATAAGAGTGCTGAAGAATTGTTACGAGCATTTAAGAAAATTGCATTGGAAGAAAACACTAGTTTTGATCGGAAGAGAGCAACAACGTCAAGGCATTCAACGCGAGATGGAATAGTAGCAACGTCAAGACAGTCAACACGAGATGAAATAACTGCAACGTCAAGGCAGTCAATACGCGATGAAATAACCAATAAAGAATTTCGATGTTATAATTGCAACACGACAGGGCATTTAAAGAAGAATTGCCCAAAGCCGCTGCGAACGTGGGGATCGTGCTATCGTTGTGGAAGTACTCAACATCGGGCAAATAATTGTTTTTTGAATGCAGTGTCAGATACGCGTACAAAATTCGTTAAAAATAGCCTTTATGAAGGGGAGTTAAAGGGTCGGAGGGTCAAGGGGTCATATTTTTTAAGGGCCCACAGTACTACCATTGGGTTTTAAGGGATCAAGTAAATGGACAGTGCGCAACAATGCTTCTTACACTCAGATATGCTTAAACGTGGTAGTTTCGAATAAGAAATTATTATTGACTTTTGACCCTCCATATCTCGGAAACTATTCAACTTACGACCTTGAGCCCATTGGAACTTTTGATCAGGACATCATGAACTACATCATATCAAAAATTCAGCTAATTTAACCGGGGGCCATTTTCCATAAGATCTGTGCGGGGTCCTTTACATAAACCCAGACGATGTCGAATCGTTTCTAATAATACACGACCACACAGAACAGAATTTTTATATCTACTGACAAAGTTACTTGCTTCTTATGCAAAACAAGGTCACATTGTAAATCAATGCAATATACAAACCCAAATACCAATACCAAGCACAACGGATAACAAGGAAACCACCAGTAACCTAGCACTATATGAAACAAAACTAATGATAAATATCTACGACTTACAGCATAAAATAAACTCTATAAACGGAAACCCAACCATAACAGAAAACAGCGAAACAGGAAAAAAACCCCAACGCTGAGGCCGCTCCCAACCCATCTACAGCTAACTCCAGCACAAAGAAGAACCGAACAAACGACCCTCAAGCATCGTTAAAAAGAAACCATTATCAGTCGCCTTAGAAGAAGATCTGCAGAACCTCCATACCATTCAAACTAAGCTACAAGAAACGCTAGACAAATTGCAAAAATGGTCTTTCATCTGAGGTTTTAATTTGTCTAGCACCAAGTCTAAAATAATCACTTTTAGCAGAAAGAAACAACATGTAAACATAAAACTAACGATCAATAATCAGGTAAGCAAGGAAACAACTTCTATCAAACGGCTACAACCAGTCTAACAATAAGTGTATATGGTCCAAAACACCCAACGGATATAGATCCGTTACTATATACATAGTATATAGTAATTATTACGGACCTATATACAGTAACTATTAGAAGCTAATCAAGCAACCAAAAAAATCAAACTTCATCACAAAACACCTATCTTTCTATATCAACTCTATGCAATAAAGCACGCCATCAAATCCCTTTTAAACGACCAAAATAAAAATTTTTGAATTTTCTGCAACTCTACAATTGCTATATCTCAGTAATACAGAAGCTATGGACAAACGACCCTACCATACCTACCTGGCATCTGACTTTAAAAAATTTCATTTCTTTAAATTGTATTGTATTCACCTTCTTTTGTATCCGTTTACAATGCCCTCCCTTTCGTTTATACCTTAAGGTGAGAAGATACCAGGAGGTAATAATACCCTAGCACCCTAGTTTAACATTTTTTTATTTCTCTCAACACTATCAAACAAAGAAACGTTTGTACCCGTTTGTACTACCTCCACTTTCGTTTGTGTCCCAAGGGGTTTGTTTGTACCGACTTCTAAAAAATTCCATAAAGCTAACTTCACCATTTTACATATACAGTATTTTCTGCATAAGTGTGAAAGAATCTCTACCATTAGGGTAAGTATTTAATCTCCACTACTGTTGAGATCCCTCTCGGAATCAGTTAAGTGTTAAACACGATCGTTTACCGAGCTGACGAAGATTAAATGTTGGTGAGACACGTACTAATGCCAGCAAGGGAAAAGATTGCAGTTTTCTCATTTCTTCTTATTTTTTCATGAAAATGTTACCATCTTATTCATCTCGTCCTTCTGATTACAATGACACCAAACACGATAAATTTATAATCATAATTACTTGTATAGTAAACCATGGAAGTTTCAGACTTTTACATTTAAAACAAACTTTACATTGCAAGCATCTAAGCAAGTAAGCATACCTAACAGTAGAAAGTGTAAGAGTGAGTGAATAACCGGTGAGCATACCGTGCCAAATAGAAAAGACGTGTAATGAAAACGCTGTCCCTTTGTTGTACAAACGAATGGAAAATTTAAATCGAGCAAAACTACTTTCATGTCAATCTCTAATAATTTAGAATATACTTGTAATAAATTTTTTGTGTATATTACTATTGTCTTTTGAGATAGTTTTATCAATTTTACGGCGTTGAAAAGTTGAAAAAGAAAAGAATATACCAAAATGATTGCTCTACAAAATATATTTGAAGAATATGTACTACGGAAATGATTATTAAAAATAACATATAAGAAAATAAAAAACTATACATCACAAAAAATTACAGATGAATATGATACAGTTACAGAGATATGACAAAATATTTGTTACAAATAAATTACTGGTAAATACACAGGTTTAAACTATTCTTTTTCGACCGCCATACTTCTACACTATGTGCATGCGCACCTCCGATTCTTTTGATTTGGGCATTTAAATTGGTTGTGTCCTCTGTCTCTCTCTCTAGGAGGTAGGTTTTCTTGTCTAGTGTCGGTCTCTTATTATATCTACTCTTTGGTGTAACACTATGTATACTCACCGCTCTTGCTTTGATGCGAGCTCACAGATTTCCAGTCCCTAAGATAGCAATATAATATTTTAATTTTTACATTTTTTTCAATGCAAACTTTTTAAATATATTTATGAGAGTTTTCCGATTAAAACAATAATATTTACCATTCATTAGAAAACAGATTGGTCGAGCAGATTGACTCGAGATCCGGTAGTGAGTTTTCACTTTGCAACGAAGAATAGAAATCCCCTCGCAAATCGGCTTGAAAACAGTGAATGAATTCTCATTTTGCAACGTATCCCTCACGCCTCTAAATCCAATTCCGGCATTGCTTCTGGAAACACTGTTGATACATTAACAGCGGCGACTCGCTTTTGCTAAGGAAGTTCAAAGAGGTGGCTGACGCGACGGTCATGATCGCTCTGTTCATATAAATCAATAAAAAACAGTAATTAAATTAACGCATAAATTATATTATTAATTTAATGACGAATTAAAAATGCTAAAGTGTTTCCAATTTTTATTGCAATGAGTGGTATCTTCTTATGATTCCCAGTGAGTACACTCACAACTCGTGTAGGTCCCTGAAATAGGGGGTAGCTGACGTGATTCTAAGCAAGATTTCCCTTTGCAAAAATCAGGTTTGAAGCGTCGTTTTTGAGTTATTAACGAAAAACACGGAGCAATCAGAGCGCCGGGATTACGCGCGCCGAGAAGCGGGACCGCTTCTCACGTTAGCTATCACGTCAGCTACCCCCCATTTCAGGGACCTACACGAGTTGTGAGACACGCTGTATAATTTCCTCGCTTGTACAGCTTTGGGATAACATTTGAATGATTGCAATTAGGAATCGACGTTACGTGGTCAAACAAAATACTTTATTTCGGAAAACGCAGGTTACAAATGTTTAGCACGCGTGATAAACTGAGAATGATATCAGGAACGAGAGGATAGGGCAATTTGTAGGTTTCGAAAAATGAACTTTGAATTGTGACTAGGAGGAAAAATTCGGAAGAAGTTGAACAGCGAAAAGTCTAACGTGTAACATGGTGAAAGTTGTTGACTGGTTGAAGATGACGTGATGGATGATGTATGATAAATATTTGGGTGCATAATATTGTGTTTATAATGCATCACCACGCCGCGCAGTGTAGTTGGCATATGTATGGGCATTGCGGACAAAACTTTTCTTCAGTACAAAATTTTCTCGTGATTATTTTTTTAGTTTAAATTTCCAATTATAATTAATAAATGTACAGACTAGGAAACAACACCCGCAAGATCTGTATGAAGTTAGCGACCCACTTTGAAAATTTTTAAATTCTAAAAGTTGTTTCAGGTTGTTCTAGACTTATTCTAAATTATTTGACAAAATAAATGAAAATGAAGATGGTACAAACGGGTACGAACATTTTTTTTTGTAATAACATTGAGAGAAATAAAAAATGCTAAAGTGGGGTGCTGGACCCTGAACCCTGATATCTTCTCACCCCTTAGGGCGCAAACGAAAAGGGGGATAATACATATGGGTACAAATGAAGGTGAATACAATACAATTTACAAAAATGAAATTTCTTAAAGTCGGATGCTAGGTTCAAGTAGATCCCTGATATTCAAGAAGGCCAAAAAGCTTACTTCAGGTCAAATCTAATAAACAAGTCGGTAACAATAATATGCACCCCCTCTTACAATAGGAAATGAAACTGCAAACCAAGCAGCCAAAGAAGGAGATAACTAAACAACCCCCGACCACTACAACAATACAAATTATTCTGGGATACCACGCTCTCCACCTTAAAGGAAAAAGTAAAAGATAGTTAGAATAAAGAATGGAATTCTGCAACCAAATCCCGCATAAAAACAATCAAATCTGATTTTTTCCAAAAATCTATCTCCCAGTCTCTACCCAGATTGGCCAAAGTGAAAATTTCTCGAATTACTTGTATAATATGTCATAAAAAACTTATCCACTAATACCTAAAAGACAATCTGAAGGACGACAAATCGACCAAAAATTTGCTACAGTACCTTAAAAAGTCTTGTAACTATAAATAAATAAAGAACAAAATTCTAAAAAAATTCTGAAATATTGAGATCTATATAGCACATATTATGGAATTTTTTCAAATTTATTGTAAACTATAGTTGTTAAAAAATGAAAAACCGCAAAAAATCGGAAAAAATGAAATATTTTATTGAAGTTGTCGAAACATTACTTTTATATAATAGTGGTAAAGTACTTTTTGTGTCGAATTTACATATACTTTTGGTATCCTTTTTCAGTATTTTTATTAAATAATATTTAATAGATTCATATTCATATTGATATAAATGGTATATTTGTTAAAGAAATAAAATTCGATGTCGCAATTTGTAATATTTTGGTACGTAAAATGTTAATACAACAATGTCATTAGCAAAAAAAATTTAAAGTATTTCCTCGTAATCCCTATTATCCCTTTTGAGCATAGGTTCATGCCCTGCTAAATTTACTTTCTTTAATGTTATGTTTCTTATTTTTCTTTTGTTTTAATCATTTTAATATAGGTTCAAAATGTTTTTAAATTATCGTTATATATTTCCACATGCACAGGGTAAAAAAATAGTATTATAATATTACTTCTTTTATATGTATTTAACCGTTGCTCAGCTTCAATTTTAAAGATATTCATAAACAGCTTTTGGTAATATTCATTGAATTCTGAGTATGCTTACTAGTCCACTGCGTTGTATGCATCAGTACGAAACCACTACTTACTTCTTTTTTTTATAAATATATCATGACGCTCAAAAAGCAATAGATATAATGAGTGGTCTTAAAAATCAAATTTTAATAGATTTTAGCAGCTTTGGCTTACATGGAACACTTCCTAACAATGACTGGAATATTAATACAACCTAACTAAATGCAGTGATTACACTAAAGGTAAAATTAAAGGAAATCAATATTCTGGATCGTACAAGATTAAATATAAAATCACTGAAATCTTTTAATTTGATCTTTTAGACAACCTTTTTACTTCAACTAGTAAATTAATTGACATCCGAAAAACACTCCAAACATTTTTTTACTTTAAATATTTGTAACTTTACATGTATATGAAGACATTATAATTTATAAATTGTTAATAAATGTTGGAGTTTTGAATTTACGCGCTTTTAAAACTCTTAAATGAAGAAATTCGCGGTCCTTCGTTTTCTGTTTTTGGTTGCCGTGCAGCGTTTGTGTGTTTGTAGAATCGTTAGTGACTTCATGTTTTACGATGCCCGGCGTCTTCTTGTATTAATTTATTTTGCGTATTTTTTTAATAAAAATAAACTGTGTTCACTATTAAAAATCCATCAGGTTATGGGCCCAGGGGACTCAGAGACTTGGGTAACCGGTGAAAAATAATTAAATGTGTAGAAATAGTGATCAGCAGTAAAATAAGATAAACCGCGTGCGTTGTGTGTGTAAAAAGAAATTGAAAATGAATATCGGAAGGGTTGAACAAATTCAAAAATTAAATTCTACGAACTATGATACCTGGAAAATACAAATGAGAAATATTCTTCGCTACAACGAATTATGGGGGTACGTAGATGGAAGCATTCCAAGGCCACGCGAAAATTACGGAGAATGGACCATAAAGGACGAAAAGGCTCTCGATTCAATCATTCTTAGTGTACAACCCGATCAATATAATTATGTTAAGAAGTCGGAAACTTCGGCAGATGCATGGCAGGTATCAGCAGTAAAATAAGATAAACTGCGTGCGTTGTGTGTGTAAAAAGAAATTGAAAATGAATATCGGAAGGGTTGAACAAATTCAAAAATTAAATTCTACGAACTATGATACCTGGAAAATACAAATGAGAAGTATTCTTCGCTACAACGAATTATGGGAGTACGTAGATGGAAGCATTCCAAGGCCACGCGAAAATTACGGAGAATGGACCATAAAGGACGAAAAGGCTCTCGATTCAATCATTCTTAGTGTACAACCCGATCAATATAATTATGTTAAGAAGTCGGAAACTTCGGCAGATGCATGGCAGGTATTAAAACAAAAATATGAATCTAAAAGTCCTATGCGACAATGTGCTCTATTCAAACAGCTATATCGTTTAAAGAAAGTATCAAGTCAAAGTATGACGCAGTTCATAAACGAATTCATGAACATTGCGGAGCAGCTTGAAGAATGTGAGCTAAAATTGTCCGAAAATTTATTGTCCATTTGGTTGTTAAACTCTTTACCTCATGAATATGAAACTTTAATTATAGCAATTGAATCAAGAGAGCAAATGCCATCATTAGAAGAACTGAAAAGCAAGATACTTGAAGAAGAGTCAAGACAAACAGAAAATATAAAGCAGCAAGAAGACAGTGCAGAAGGGGCCCTATTGTCCAGTAAAGGTAAGCCGTACAAGAAAAATATAATACAGAAAAATAATACACAAAATGAACAAGGAAAGAGATTTAACATAAAATGTTTTACATGTGGCAAACCGGGACATATTGCAAAGAATTGCAGATCAAAACCAAAAGTTGAAAATAAGAGAATGGCACAGGATGCGTTTACAGCAAGTGCTTTCAGTACGAGATGATTTGCTAATAGCTTCTGTTGATTTTAAGAAATTAGAAATTGTAAAGAATTTACTGAAAAAGCAATTCGAAATGAAAGATTTAGCACCAGTTAAAACTATATTAGGTATATGTGTTGAAAGACAAGGTCAAAGAGGAAGCATAAGATTAAATCAAAGTAAATATATAGAAGATTTACTTGAGCGTTTTAATATGAGCAATTGTAAAACGGTGAGTACACCTTTGGAAGCTAAGGTAAATTAACAATTGAAAGATTTGGAACCACTGACAGATGTAGAAATTGATGAAATGAAGGAAAAACCTTATCGGCAATTAGTAGGGAGTTTATTGTATTTAGCAAATACAACTAGACCTGATATAATGTTTGCGACGAACTTTTTATGTCGATTTTGTGAAAATCCGAGAATCATGCACTGGAAAATGGCAAAACATGTTTTAAGATATTTGCGAGGAACAATTAATTATTGTATTAAGTAGGAAAAGACGAATGAACCATTACAAGCATATGTAGATTCTGATTGGGGTGGAAACCTCGACGATAGACATTCGTGTCCTGGATTTGTTACGTTTTTAGCTGGTGCTCCAATAAGCTGGGCGACCAGAAAGCAAAAATGCGTCGCACTTTCCACAGTGGAATCGGAATATATATCACTTTCCGAAGTAACGAAAGAAATTGTATATTTGCGAGAATTATTGAAACATATGAAACAATCAAAGTTTGTATTTAAAGAAACGCGAATATTTTGTGATAATCAGAGTGCAATCTCATTGTGTATGAATAATGTTTATCATGCTAGAAGTAAACACATTGATATAAGATTTCATTTTTCAAGAGAGGCTCAGGAAAAAGGTTATATTGAAGTATGTTATAAGCCTACGAGTGACATGGCAGCAGATATATTAACGAAATCACTGCCAAGGTTAAAGCATGTAAAGTGCGTAGAATTGTTAAAATTATCAAATTAGAAATTTACGCGCTTTTAAAACTGTTTTGTAAAACAATGTATATTGTTAATTTGGATTGCGTAGCATCGGCCCGCGAATTAGGGGGAGTGTTGGAGTTTTGAATTTACGCGCTTTTAAAACTCTTAAATGAAGAAATTCGCGGTCCTTCGTTTTCTGTTTTTGGTTGCCGTGCAGCATTTGTGTGTTTGTAGAATCGTTAGTGACTTCATGTTTTACGATGCCCGGCGTCTTCTTGTATTAATTTATTTTGCGTATTTTTTAATAAAAATAAACTGTGTTCACTATTAAAAATCCATCAATAAATTTGCAAAATTTTTCCAATTAAAATGATCCAAACACGCAAACTATACATATATCTTTAGTATTAGAGATGATTAAATAAAAGTATAACATTTCTAATGTATAGAATAATACTAAAACTAACCTTATTTATAAATTTATTGTCAAATGTAAGATCTCAATAATATGATATTGTAACTTTCATACCCATAAGACTGTAGAAGTTTCACATTTCATTACTAAAGAATCTACAACATATAATAATGCATTATTACTCGACTTTCAAATCAAAACTTGAATGGAAATAAAAGGTGTCATAGTACAGCTTGATGTCCTCGAGTCGATGAGAAACCGTGCCGGTTCGAAGAAACGAATATTTTAAATATATTTGAAATTTATTTGTAACCTTTGAATAAAAAATTACCTATTACCGTCGAATAAATTTATTTATACGTAGCACGTAGAAAAAAGATAAAATAAGTATTTTTGAAGCCTCGAATAGCAAATGGAGATAAAACTATTTTTTATTCGGAGCGTTATTTAAATAATTTTTTACGTAGATGATGACCATCGCTGTCCTGTGGTACGATATCAACTTACTAAACTGTCGCGATGTTTTTGTATGTCAGTTCAAGTTCAACTTATTGTTAAAACAAGTTTTTTACACGAATTACATGTTTTTTTAATTCCAAAGTACATAGGGTGTCTCGTTACTAGTGTTACACCCTGAAAGGGGTGGTAAAGGATGTCATTCTGAGCAAGATTTTCCTTTGCAAAAATGAGGTTTAAAACTTCGTTTTTGAAATATTATAGAAAAACACGGTCCAATCAGAGCACGAGGATTACGCGCACTCAGAAGTGAGAGCGATAGCTTCGAGCTGCACGGCTGAGCGCGATCACGAACAAGCGTCTTTGCGATAGGATAGTGTAAATATTTAACAAGAAGTCCTTATGTTAATATCCAGTTAAATAATGATCAGAATAATTAAAAATAATGTTCACTTATTCATTTCTCGTGAGTACATGATAAGTAAATTTGAATTAATCTCACCTTTAATTTAAATATAGTCAAGTTTCAGTAAAATTTTGTTCTCGTGATTTCGTTTTTACAAATGAAAAAGTTGTTTAGAACCACGTCCTCAGCCACCCATTTCTGGGAGTTACGCTATATGTGAGACACCCTGTATGTACTACGCTAAACGATTGCGCACTATACCCAAGCTTACAACGCAACGACGCCTTCTATACAACTGATTTTAATCCCTTCCTTGAAGGGCTTTTCTGGCCGACACCTCGACCTTTCAACCCTTCTTTCCCTAATGAATCTTTCCTAACACGTACAAAGGACTGCGACACGTGGAGAAAAAAAAGCATTGCCTTCCTTTACACGGCCTGCAAACGCCGCGACCCTATCATAACTATCCTATCAATAGATAGTTAGTTAATAAAGTAACCTACGCAATTATACTCAACGAATCTCACTATCCTACACTTCTACACTATCTTTATTTCTCCTTTACATTTGGCACAGTAAAGTATTCACAGTAAATAGGCAGTATGTAAGACAGTAAGCTCATCATATGACTATATTTCTCTTTTGTCCTAAATCTTGTTTATAGGGTGGCAACAGAATAATTTTTCTGAGATGTTTAGTTCTTCCTTCTTTTCTAAATAAAGAAATAATTTCAAATGGAGCATTTTTTTTCATATTAGTTTTGTAAAGAATTTCGTGCTGTTCGTCTGTTTTAAAATGCATCTAGTCTATATTTTTTTTTCTATTTAATATTGTTATTTCTAAAGATTTGGTTAAGACAAACTATTCCCGTTTTATTTCATATAAAAAGAAGCTATTTTTGTTCACAGTTGTTTCTATTATTATTATTACGAATGGACTTATTCCACGCTCACAAAAAAAGAATTTTACAGTAAGATTTTATAGCTAAAATACTTTTGATTACTCTATTAAGAAACGGTACTTTTTTATATGTATAATTATGAATATACAAAGAGATTACTTATATTTTAGTCAAATTATTATTAATTTACTTTTTTCCAATTCTTTGTAAGCACACAATTAATAAACTAGTTATAATAATCTAGTATCAGGTTTGGTATAGTTGTTTAATATTAATTCAATAGTGATTATGATAATCAAAAGTGATAATACTCGTGATAGCTTTAGATATTTGTCTTCAAATTTAAATAAAATATGAGAATCTTCTTCAGTGAAACAGATTGATATTGATTCTTAGAATAATAATGATTTTTCCTGTATTATGATTAGTAAATTTTTAAAAATAGTTGACAGAAGTGGTAGTGGTATTTTAATAATAATCTGAATATCACAGCCTTCTGCAATCGTATGTTAAATATGAGTTACTAATTTTATATTAGTGTGGACATAAAATAGACAAACTGTATGCTTGTCATGTGAAAATGTAACTTTTTTTGACATAATTTTACTATATCTAATTACTGAAAAGTTTCAAAAACATTCACATCAAATTGCTGAACTGGTAAATCACATTAATTCAATTATTTGCAACTGTTATTGATAATAAAAACGACTTCATGAAAACTAAATATTTGGAGCTAATAAAAACAATACCTATTTTCAAAATTACATTATGGAAAGTCCAATAAAAAAAGAAGACATAACAGAGGATGATGAAAGTGAGAATATTGGAAATAAGTTAAAACTTGACTGATTCTTAGCAAATAACTCTGTCGAATCATATTAGATGTAGCGCCACACATTAAATCTCTGTACCTCTACTAATTTGAAGAATCTATTACATAGTGACCCAAAATTATCGAGGTTTTCTGAAGAAATTATTATTGGTAAGTTTACTATTGGTAAGTGTCTCAACATTGGAAATCCATAGAACAGCTACAAAAAAACTTAAGCTATAGTCTCAGCAAACCAAAAGAAACCCAGTAGAAATCATTGTTTAATTCCATAACACAGATTTTCAAAAGAAAAGAATATATGTATTTTAACAAAAGAATGAAGTATAAACAATTTTCTTGAGAAGAATGAATTCAATTATATTGAAGAATATTTAAAGTGTACTGATAACAAGGGCATTATATATATGTCGTGGTATGAAAATAATATTTATTTTGGAATTTTATTATCTTGTATTTTTGTGTTTTAAACATAAATTGAAAAAGCTAAAAATCAATCGTTTGTGTGTTACAAGCTTATAATCAATATTGTGTATAATACTGTTACCATCTGCTTCCATAGCTTGCTAATATTTAAAATGTTTCAATCTCAAAGGGCAGTTATTACTGTGTTAAGGTACTAAAGATTTAAAAATAATGGATTTAGTTTCATTCATTTTGAATTCCATCAATGGTTGTATGACTTGTTGAGAAAAGAAGTTAAAGCACAATAGAACAGTTCAAAAAATATAATAGATGAGTAACAATCCAATTATATGAGCCAAAAAAATGAGATTTTTGCTTTCTCATATTTAAATAACGATAAAAAATTTGTTAATTACATATGAACTACAAGTGAGACAGTAATTTTGATCTTATTGTTATTATGATTTTGTCAATTTTGTTTATAATGGATATTCTTCTTAAATAGATATTTGTTAAATATAATACACTAATACCTTTTTTGACTTCCATCGAAAGGTACTTTTCTTATACAATAATAATTAATTTAATATGCTCTCACACAATTTCAAATGAAATATTTAACAAAAAAATGGTATTTACAGCACATTTAGATACATCTTACAAAAGAATTGAAATAAAACACATTAAAATAACAAATTCTTTGTCCCCTCTACCTGAAAATTATGAATAATTTTCTGAAGATAGAATAATGATATATTAAAGTCTGATTTTTGTAATATACAGGGTGTCCCGTAACTAGTGTTACTCCCTGAAAGGGGTAGTAGAGGACGTCATTCTGAACAAGATTTTCCTTTGCAAAAATGGGGTTTGAAATTTCATTTTTGAATTATTAAGAAAAAACACGGACCAATCAGAACGCGAGGATTTCGTGCGCTCAAACGCGAGAGCTACAGCTTCGAAAATGACAGTCGATCGTGATCGTGCACAAGCGTATCGATACCACGTCGGTATAGCGTCGGTATGATAGAAAGCTGTTAGATGAAAGTTACATTGAAAAACGAATGAAAAAATCTGAATTATTATTGAATTTATTAGTGCATAAGAAATGAAGAAAGTAGTCCTTACTTACGTAATCAGAATAAGTCGAATTTATTCGATACATTTATTTGTTATCGCAAAGAAATAATAGATAAAATATGGAAAATTATTCTCGTTAGATATTGTGATGATGAAAAAGAACAAATTCTTATTTTTAAAAAATGAAATAACCTTTCCATTCAACAAATAAAAATTTGAATTTGAATAATTAACAAATTTAAATGTAACTCACCCATTGAACCGTAAATAATCACGATGAAAATGCATCTCTATCACCGGGTCGATCCACCGATTCTTACTGATAGCATAAATAAATCATCATACAGAAACTCTCAAAAAACGCACAAGTAACTTCACTGTTATCTTTCATTATTAGTTTTTATTATCACTTTTCTCTGTCACTTTTTACTAATTTTCACTAATTTTCAGTGTTAGTCCGACACATAAATAGGACGAATGAAAACACGTGAACGAATATTCATAAATAATTTACACTATATTATATTGAAAGCAAGAAAACAGAATTTTCAATTAGAAACAATGATACATTTTATTTCGACACGTTTCTTTCGACAATAAACGACGACTGTCGATCGACGCCGCAGTCGTTCAACAGACCATCGTTGCATGGCAACCGGTCGCGACATATGCCTCGCGATCGAGAACGAAACCGCGATCCGTGGCCAGTGTAACAATGTCTTCTAATAAAAATAATTTTAAGAAAAAAAATACGCCGACTTCGAAATGCACTAAAAAGTATAAAATAATTTCTATTTGCTAATGAAGTAATTTCTATTTCATTCAATCATACAATTACGTAACAGATATGAATGAAACCTATTTACTCGTTAGGTAGTATATTAAATACATTTCAACCTTTTCGAACGTCCTCTACCACCCTTTTAAGGGAGTAACACTAGTTACGGGACACCCTATATACTCATTAATAACAAATTTTAGTGGTACAAAATTAAAAAGTGCTTTTCTTCTTTTTTTTCTTCCCTTCATACTTTTTCTATAATCTTTTTGTGTTATATTTTGAAATTATAAAAAACAACACTACATAGTATTTCTTTTTAATCACAATAATTACAATTTGATATACATAGATGACCCTGAATAAAAGGCGAACTCACGAACTTTTGTTTCAGAGAGCGTAACAAAAGTAATATAGAATTTTGTATAACTAATACGATGCTACTGGAATTTATCTATAAATAAGGAATAATTCCAAAACTAAATGAAAAATAAATGCGTTCAATTTATTCATTGTTTAAAATAATTTTTATTCAACAGTATCTCGAAGTGTCAAATATAAAACAGACAGCACAAACGTTCAAATATTTTTATTAACTTCACGATTGCGCATTACTTTTCAATAATTCTGCGGTTTGTTGTTTTCGCGAAGCAATCACGGAGTGCCAACTACAAGATATGCAAAGAAAACACAAATATTTCGCCGAAATCATTAAACTCAATGCGATAATGAAATAAAAAAAAAAACATATAATATACACACACGACATTTCATAGTTTATAACCAAATGTAAGTCATATTCAAATATTAACTTATTTAATACGTGTAAAACTTTTGAATCTGCATTTTATGAAGTAAAAATTAGATATTATATGTTCGCATATGTTACTCCTTCGCGAATAAAAAGTTAAAAATATCGATTTGCAATTTTTTTATATATGATATACTTCTATAAAAAATCCGAAAAATTGTATATTAATAATTTTAACAATCTATTAAATTATAGAAATATGAACATGGTTACGTGAAAAATTAAAATAATAATATGACCAGATACCGGTTTTTAATTTTTGCAACTATCCCCTCCCGCCCTTAAAAAATCTGAAAAAATTAATAATCATGATAAGGTGCTTTTACTGTAAAAATATAAACGTGGTCATTTTATAATTTTTATTGAAAAAATATTTTTAACTTTTGGAATTTTTTAAAAATTCTGAGAAAATTCACAAACACCAACGCCATAAAGAAAAATATCTCTAATTTCATCTTTCAAATTTTTTCGTACAATATAACAAAGGATATAATAATGTATCTGTAAATTGCGTTTCGGCCTCTAACTACCCTCAAGTACGGGTAGCAGCTTCATACTCGACAAAAATGATTTCCTTTATGCGGTTTATTATCTGGTCATTGATTAATTTGATATAAAAGAACTTTTGAACCCCTTATTCGGCTATACCCTTTGTCCGTCAACGCATTTATAACACTACTACATTTGCTTTACCACATGATAGATATATCGTTGTAAATGGCTGTAACGGCCGCGTATTCGCGAAAGCACTCGGTCGATTTCACAACACTTCTTAGAAGGGAACATATCTAACCGGGACACACCGATTTTAATTAAACTTATGTGAAAAATAGTTCTTAAGAAAATATTTACTAGTGAGAGACAGAGGATGGGCAAAATGAGTGGAAAACCACTCTTTTTATAAGAGAACAATAAACTGAACTGATTGTGAGACAGAAGACCCAACAAATTTAAATGCCCGAGTGAAATGAATCGGGGGTGAGGGTACGATTTTGACAGAGTATTTCGAAATGTGAATATGCATAATGCATATGTAAGTATGACGGTCGAAAAATAATAGTTTAATCTTGTACATTTACCAGTAATTTATTTGTATTAAATATTTTGTCGTACATCTGTAACACGTTCATCTATAATTTCTTGTGATATATAGTTTTTTATTTTCTCATAAGTTATTTGTAATAATCATTTTCATAATACATATTCTTTAAATATATTTTGAAAAGTAATCATTTTTGTACATTCTTTTCTTTTTCAACTTTTCAATGTTGTAAAATTGATACAAATACTTCGAAAGGCTGTATTAGTAATAAACAGAAAATTTATTACAAATACATTCCAAATTATTAAAGGTTGACATAAAATTAGATTCATTTTATTTGAAATTTCGGTTCGTTTGAACGATCAATTTAAAGGGACAGCGTTTTCGAGATATCAAAGATGCCTCTGGTCGCCTCTGGTTCTATCCCTACTCTGTGGACAGACTGACAGACAGAGGACACAACCAATTTAAAAGTTCAAGTTAAAAGAATTAGAGTGGGGGTAAAATTTTGGCGCTGTAATCCGATAATCCTCATGTGCGCAGTATGCAAGTATGGCAGTCGGCAAAGAATGCATATTCCAGCACATTAACTAGTAATTTGTTTTTAATAAGTATTTTGTTATTTCTCTGTAGCCCATTCATCTGTATTTTCTTGTGATGCATAGTTTGTTATTTCTTTATAAATTTTAATATTTATTTCTATAATATATATTCCACAAATATATTTTATAGAGTGATCATTTTCGTAGATTTCTTTGCTTTTCTTTATAACTTTTTGACATTGTGAAATTAATGTAAATGCCTCAAAAATTAATATTAGCAACATTGAGAAAATTTACGACAAATAGATTTCTAATTATTAGTGGCTGGCATGAAATTAGATTCACTTGATTTAAATTTCCCGCTCATTTGCACAACGAATTTAAAGGGACAGCATTTTCGAAACATCAAAGGTGCAGACATAGAGTGTCGCGTCTTATTATATCCCTACTCTTTGTCAATATCTCTATGTGACGTCACTTTGTCCTTATATCTAGCAACTTTGCCTGTTACTGCACTGTCAATTCATCTTTCATGAAACTAACAACTACAAGTAGTTCCAATTCAGCAACCTAATCAAAAGTGATACTTATGATATAAATAAATATTTTCTGCGCTTACACTTTTTAACGTAAAATATGAAAAATAATATTACTCTACTTATCACTTAATTGATTAATTGCAAAAAATTGAATTATCTACGATTTTCAATACACTTCTGATTATTTACGGAAAGTAACCATCACAATTTCAAGTATTCAAACAATATTTCCCTTAATTCATCAACACCACTGTCACAGAACAGATATTAGGATTAAATTTGAACTTCCTTTTGTCACTTATATTTTCCTAAAGTTCTCACCCAAATACAAAATACTTTTAAATACCAAAATAATAAAATATATTATCATTATAAAAGACACGCTAAAAGTCTCAGTACAAAAATTCAGTGGATATGATAGCAATATTTAGAGCAACCTTAGTATCATCTCTTTAAGCTCCTTCACTTACCTTTTTTTAACTTAATTATAGGTTATTTCGAGGAATCACGTTGAGTTATTTTACAAATCATCTTAAATGTCACTAATGCACGATGCTTTGTATTTTAAAGAATAAATATTTCATGACATAATCAGATCAGTAGAAGAGAAGCAAACTAAAGCGACGTAGGATACGCGCAATCTCCAATCTCATTGAACTGGTCAAGCGCGTAGTTTGGAAGGTTTACTACCTACAGGACTGTTTTACGGCATAAATGTTTTTTACGAATTACTCGTTGGACGATATAAATAAATCAATTTTAATCGAATAAAACTTTTTCTTTCTAAGTAATCTTGATTTATGTGCCTAATGAAATAATAGACCAATTCCAAACTGACTTTGGGGACCTCGTGTGGCGAAACTGAAAAGTTCCGGACGATCTTTGTTTATCCTGCATTTTTTTTTACAGAAGAAACAAAGGCAGCTTTTTTCCTACAAAAAAAATCAGATTTCGCTGTTTCAAGAATTATTAAAAGTACTCTTTTTTAAAATATTTATATAATCACGATAAAATTTTGCAGTTTTACTTTTAAAACTTTATAAAACATACATTTTTATATGCTTACGTTCATTGTACAATTTTAAAAGTGAAATTGCAAAATCAAAATCTTACATCGACTAAAATTATACAAATCACATTCATATAAAAAAACCGTAAGAAAATATTGTTCCTCCACCTTAAATTTTTATAACACCAAAATTCCATTTTTACGTCAGAGTGCAAAGTACTGCAGGTTAAAATAAACTTGCCTAAAGCTTCTTAATTTCACCACATAAGACTCTGAAAGTCTATTCGAAGTTCATTCTTCATATAAATATTTTTTCCTTGGCCTTTTTTTATAAGAAATCATTTTCTTTGCAACTAATAAATGGAAGAGAAACCATCATTAATCCAGACTACATTGTTACAAACAATATTTAGTGGTGCAATTGGTTTACTGAACATAATTTAATTTTCTTCATCTGCTTTTTTTTAATAAGCCAACCATTTAGTATTACATGAAAATTGATAAATGAATTACATTCACCTATGTTCTAATTTATATAAACTGCAGCCCTGTTGAATATAAACAGATTTAATATTAAATAATATCAGATAACTAGTTCAAGATATCAAGTAATTAAAATAGTTTAATAGATGTTTTGACATCTAACATGTAAAAATTATTATTTTTATGTTCAATATTGAGTACAATTATTCTGCATAAACAGTTTTGTTACCTTAGCGATTGTGTTAAAATAGGAATACCCAAATATGTAATGACATAAAACAAATTTACTGTTTTCAAATTAATTATTTTTCTCTCCACGGAACTATAATATAACTGTTCAAATATCGTTTTGAAAATAAGAAAATCAACATATGTTTTACTATGTAAGCTAGAACTAGAAGGCATGATAAGTATTGTACCCATGCCCATTTCAATTCTTCCAAAATACTGGGCTGATAGTAAATTAAGCTGTCCTTATAGATTATTTCTGCACAAATTACTACTTTATTTTCTTGTGTGTGACCTGCGAACTTTATTATATGCTCATTGTTTATTTTAGCTGCAACTAAAATAAATTTTTATGTTTCATCTAAATGTAAAAACTGATATGTTCAATTAAAAATGACAATAATAGAAGTATTACTAACATTTTCTATTAGAATTTTGTAAGAGTAATTCTTCTAATGAGTAATTGACCATCTCTATACTCTGATTATAAGATTCATATAAACCTTCACTGGTAAGAAGGCCCTTTTGCTGTAATGTCAAATCTCCAAAAAATTGTATCCTTTGTACTTCTTCATTTAATACATGAGTAAATAATGCGATAGACTCAATTGTTATTTCAAATAATTGCTGTAATAAATCAATAAAATTACTATTTTGAAGTAATATTTAAAAATAAGCATGCAATAATATATTTTACCTTCAACTGAAAATTAAAAAATAGTAAAATCTTGTAAGATTTAACAGGGATGTTTGTATAAAAATGGGCCTCAAATTTTAAAATATCCTTTTTACCATCACTATTTGTATCTATCTCTTGCACCTAATTTTTTAATTGGTAGTTAATTATAAAACATATATGTCAATAGAGTGATTGTATGATTATGCATTGTATACTATGCAATAATAGAACCTTTATTAATGTACAATCATCTGTAATTTTATTATCTTTATACATTGTGAATGCTGAACAAACTATTGGACTAACACTATAGCCCTTATCTGCTAATATTAGATATTTATAATTAAATGATATATATGGTTTTTCTGTATAGACACGATTTTTCAATGAAGATCCTAGAAATGACAATAATTTTCAACAATAATGCAACTAATAAATAATAAAACACATCAAATTATAGAATAAGTATAAACACACATAAAAAATAAAATATTATGTATACGTACCTCCTGTATTATAGATAATAAAAAATGGTGTAAATACTAATAAAGTTACAAGAAACAATACAATTAAAAAACTTACAGAACATATTCGACTTTGATATTTATAATCAACAGAACTTGAAAATATTTCTACAGCTGCCATCATAATTATGACGCGTTGCCTAGGCAACGAGGCAAAAATATACATATACAACAAAGGCGGTTAGAATTGGATTGTATGTAGACAATATTATTCATTTATGTCATTAAATTACACAAAACATGCAATTTAATTGTGTTAAATGTATATTAAAATTTAAATATTTCATTTATCAATGTATATCATAACTAATAAAAAATTTGTTATAATCAGCATTTTATTCGTTCCTATAATTACGGATGATTGGAAACAGTGTTATGAGATAAACCGGCAATTTTTGTAGCATGCGCTACAAAATTACCATAAGTAAAATAAGTGTGTAGATAAAAAGATGTATCTTGATCACTTATGCATACTTTCGCAAAATTGATGTAATATAAAGAAAAATATACAGTATATGTATAAATGTAAAGATCAATATACCAAACTTTGCAACTCACTGAATTTATTGCGAATTTGTCCACTTGTATTATTATTCCACTACCTTTGCCACGTGATAGATACGTGCTGTTATTGGCTGTTATGACTGCGCATGCGCAAAAATAACTGTCCGTTTCGCATTACTGGTCGAAAACAGTGGTGAGATATGTATTGCCTGGGTTTTTCGCACATGCGCGGCAATTTTAGTCTCAGTAAAATACAAGTTTCAATGAAATGGGGTACCTTAACCCCTTAACGCACAGTTTTTTTTTAAGAAATCGAACAGAAAAGTTAATTTTTATATACTGTGCTTTTGTTCTATGGAAAAAGGCTATATTTTATTCTTGAATAAATAAGTGTTATAGCTTACAATCTCATGTAAATGATAAATATCAATAAAACGAAAAACGCCGCTCGAACTATCTCGAGTGTGCACAGTTTAGCCTGTTTAGCGCCCTCGAATTAACTCGAGCGTGCAAGTTGAGGGGTTAATCACCTTTCATTATTTTTAAAAAATTCTTATAATTTGGTTATGAAATATGAATGTATAGGTTGGGTAAGATTAGATTATTTACATATACTGTATAATTCATTATGAGGGTATTAAATTAACTTTAAGCAAAATATATAATATAAAAATAAAGTATTTTATTTGACAGAATCAATAAAAGAATGCCAATATTTGTTGCTAGAATAAAGAAATGTTGCTAGAATATTAAAACCTTATTAGTATTTTATCCTAGTGTTTCTTTCGTAACGACTGCTTTTCTGCTGTTTTCCCGCCAACAATACTACGCCATCTAGTGGCGCCACTAAATAGATGAGTTCTTGCATTTCTCACGCATGCGCGAAAAAACCCAGCCAATATCTCATCACTGGTCGGAAATAATTTTATATCAACTACCTCACGTAGTATTTTATACAAAATGTAAAGACTTCAATTTATATTTTATATTTTTATGTATACTTATTTATAATTTTTATAGTTTTACTTCCATTTATATATTTACATTTGTTTGTATTTAGTATTTACATATATATTCATGTCACTTGTATTCAATATCATAACAACTGATTTCTTATGTTATGTACTTCGCTTTATCATCCAGTATGTGACAAATTTTACTATCCGCGATAAAATAAAAGCAAAGTGGTGGCAAGTGGCAGTGAATGGTGGTAGTATCAAAAGCTTGTAGCACGTTTTCTGCTCATTCAAAATTTATAAAACAGTATACTTATGATTGCTTTTGAATAATTTGCGGACAGTACAAATATTATATACAAAAATGACAAATAACGAGCAAAGAGATACTTGTTTAAAATTGTTGCACCAATTAAAAGGTAATTAAATATGAAAGTTTAATACTAAAAGTTCTTTTAATATTACCCTATTAATTTCAGTTAGTTAAATTAAAATTTTTTAGCACAAAACAAAGCTTTTTCTAAGTTTGAAGAATTAGCTGATACACTACAGGATTATGTATCATCAAAAGGACTGGAAGATGAAGATATGGATTTACTAGCAAATATTATTATAAATACTGACTTAAGTTAGTATATTTCCAATAATGATGTAAATTATTAAACTGTTGAGTCTTGGATTATCAAACTCATCATATAATTTATGCTACTATGTTTAACATTGTTATGTATTACATTGAAGCTATCAGATATGAGTCCAATTTAGTAAAAAAAGTATTTATAACAATGAAGCCACCTACAATGTCTTAAAATTTTTAGAGTATTTTCCTAATGAATGTAATTTACATTAAGAAGTCTTAGACAGAGTTAAATATAGTAGTATTATATGTAACATGATTAAGTTATTATATGTTATGAAAATATATTTAAAATTATTAATTTAAAAAATATTTCATAGGTGCAACTAAAATGATAACATTAATAAAATGTTTGATTCCCAAATACAAGGTACCTGAAAACACATTTAAAATGATCACCACATGGCATTTATCATCAGTAAATCAACTGCCTATCACTGTATCCGTTCTTGTTATACAGTGGATCATTGGTAATATTATGTTTTTATCATGAGGCTATTTACATGAACAAAATATGATATATAAGTAAAAGAGAATCTTAAATGAAGTTGTACATATTAATTTTGTATGCTTTTAGGTTTATGGGATTATCACTTAATAGATAAAAAAATTATAAATATATATTATAATGTATTTTTTTATGTGATGTTGAAAAAAGAAAAATTGGTATGTATGTCTTCTAAATATTCATATTATTTAAACACGTTATGGTTCATAAATTAAATTATAATTAAATAGTTATTGTCATTATTATTGCAGGAAAAACAAATAGCACGTTTAATTTATGTTTTAACAAAACCAGAAGATGTAACACGTAGAGATGTGTGTCGATTACTAGCTTTAAATCAGAAATATTCTAAACCTAGAACGCATATTAGTGTTTTATTGTCGTACGTACTAATATTTAAAAATTGTATTTTATTGTTACTTTTACAATGTAACCAGTTTCTTCCTTCCCATCAAGTTTTATTTATACAGAATTAGATTTTGTTATAAGCATATGTTGTTTAAAGTAAATCTAGATCTATTAATATGATGGTTCAATATTAAAATCTAATTATAAATTAAATTGTTGTATGTTATTATAAAGCATTACAGTGGATAACATATGCAAGATAATAATATATAATAATGTAATTTATAGCAAAATTTTGATTTTAAACTTTATATTTCTCTTTTTAAAGTAATAATGGACTTATAATACAGTATAATTCTATATTCAATTATACATAAAGAAAATCGAAAGAAGATAATGATTGCTACATAATAATTCTATGAATATCAACCATATTAATTTTATAAGAGCATAACAAAAATTACATGTTACATAAAATTCAATTAAATAATTAGATAACATAAAATTAACAAACAGATATCATAAATATGAAATATACTTTAGATTATTCAAGTCTTACAAACCTGAATTGGTTCCTGAAAAAATTAATTCTGTAAATATAGAAAGTGTATGGAAACCAATACCAGAAGTTTTACGATTAATGCTGCAAAGTGTGAAAATACGCTTAGAAGTTCAAGAAACACATGATGTCAATGAATTAAATGAAAAATGTTTTAAATGGAATACAGTTGAGGTAATTAATTAATAACATTTAAGTTCGTAAAATTAGATATATAAATCCACATGTTAATAGTTCAAAAAAGGAAAAAAAAATGTGACACCTTTAATGCCATCTGTGGGATATTTTCAAATTGGCTCTAGTATCTTTAAAGAAAAAGACTCAACTTCCATTTTTGATATCTCTAGGTAAATAATGAATCTTAATGTTACTAATTTACATATTAATTAAAATCTCTTACTGAATAATATATTTTAGCACCGAAGAACTAGGAAAATCACATTTGAGTGTAGAATTACCATGTAATGCCATATCTCTCTTAACTAATACAGCTGGATACCATCTTCTTACATTTGCTGATTTTCAGTATCAAAGTAGATTCTCTTATAATCTTTATAACACTCTAGTAAGAGGTATACACCAAACTTTTAAATAATTCGTAATTTATTTTTAAAAAATTCATTTTTCAATATTAATTATCTATTTTTTTTTCAGCGTTAATGCTAGAGAACGAGAAATTTTCTGTAGAAGAAATCAATAAATTACTCGACATGACTATTGAATTTTCACGATATATGCAGCAAGGTGTACTTGTTGTTAACCGTTTTCTCAACGAGTATCTTTATTTCAACACAGGAGAGTATCAATCAAAGTTACTGATGTTATTACAATGGATGACACCAATATCTAGTAGCGGTATATTTTTAATAAATTATTAATATTAACATTTTTATGTTACTATGACTTATGTTCTAAAGCTGTAATACTTGTAGATTTACACAGAAAAATATTAGTGCATATACAAGAAATGTTTTATGAATCAGAAATTGATAAAAAATGTGAAATTATTAAAACATTGAAGATGTTGATTACAAACTTGGTATGTCAAACAGATTTTTTTAGTTTATTTGCTATTATCCATTATTAAACGAATTATATATTACAATATGTTAGTGATACATTATCATTATAGAAAGTAAGATTAATTTATATACTAAAATACTCTTTTATTACAGTTTGTTACACAAGGTTTTGAAGAATGCTATCATACAGCACCTGCACCATTTTTAGGTCAAACTCAAGTAGACAGTTTAGAAGATATTATTCCCACTCTTACGAAAGTTTCAGAAGATCTTATTATATCCGGTTTAAATATTCATTCATACAACACTTTATTACTTGCAGAATCATTGTCATTTTATGAACAGGTATGTAATAAAATTATAAGTAAAATAAATCAAAATGTGTATATATAAGGTAGATCATTTCAGTGATAAGAGATGATATTCTGAATAATAACTTCTTTCTTGAAAGAAATACTAACAAAAAAAGTTGTTTAATTTTGAAGTTGCTAGAAGGTGGTAATATTTCTTTGTTTTTTAATCAGCTTATATAGGTTACATAATGATTATCTTGGCCATTTCGAACATAACCATTATTTTTTAACTGTTTATTATAATTAATGTCATGTCGTTTTTAAATTGACGGGTATATACGTAAATACCAGGTTCATAATTGTGGAAGTCGTAAGCCATCAGTTTAAAAACGTCAAGACACCAGTTATAAAAATATAGCTGGAAATTTTGAATTAAGTTTAAAACAGTGAAAATCATTACTATCCTCTTTTGTCTATTTCGCATATATATTACAGAATATATATTACAGAAACATTTAAATAGTATAATATAAATGGTTCTTTAATACAAATTCAACATTACATTTATTATAAACGCTTAAAACGAGCATAATGAAAAATTATATTCAGTATGTCCTATGAATATAATAAAGAATATTAGTCGACGGATATAATACAGAAACGACTGATTTAAGCGTAAAATGATGTTATGTTTTAGAACTTTTGAAACTAGACAACTATTCTTCGTAGTACTTTTGTTGTCAAATGTGGTTTTATAGAAAATCACCTTTTAAGATTAAAATTATAATTATATTGTAATGAATATAATAATTATAATTAATTCTTGCTTCATACTTTTCATGATAAAGTTTTGGATCTTTCACAATTATTTTGTTATCATTACGCTCCTTTGTTTTTAATATTGATATTTTCGTTAACGTTCATTGTTTTCTTTGGTATGTTTGTTTCTTATATCTCTTTAACTAATCTTACAAGTTCCTCCTTTTTCTCTGCTCTCACTTTTTATAAATATTTTAATTCTTTCTAGCATTTCTTTGTTTAATATTGTTGATTTTTACCTAGTATGTCTTTACATTTAATTAAAATACCTAGGTTTGTTCATTGGAAGAATGGAATAATGAAGTGTCTGTTACATTAGCACCCTCTGCAGTAATTTATGGAGGTTTTATTACACAACATTGTGCAATTTTATCAAGGACATGTCGCTTACTATTAAGGTATTTATTTTATAAATTTCTTCACAAATTATTTGCCTTACTTTAAATATTTTATTGTAGGTATCGTAATATGATAGCAAATTTACAAAATAGTAAATTACGAAACATAATTAGAAGAAAAGTTTACACCATATTTGTTTATGCCCAAGAAATTGTTGATGTACTATGGTATGATGAGGTATGTAAATAAGACAGTAATATTATTAAAGTAGTTAATTATTTATTAACGTCATGTATATAAGTTTTATTTTAAAGTAAGGTAAAATTTGTTTTTAAGGATTTTAATTGTAATTATGTAAGTTTTGACATATATCGTTAAGGCCACTTTCTAGAATGACCTTCATAAGAATTTAGTTATCGTTCATTCTTTGTTAAAAAGTTTATGATAATGGCAACACAGTGGTGCAGTGTACCAAATTGGACATACTATACTTAGATATATTATTTTACATATACTTCTTTACAATATACAGGGTGTCTACACCTAAGTGTGACCCCGCGATATTTCATAAACTATTGATGATAAGAAAAAATGTTTATATGGGAATTGCAAGATAAAAGAGGCTCTATGTTTTGGCGTAAACAAAATTATTTTAATGTTATTAATGTAAAAGATATGAAACTGAAACCGATAGTCGTTGATCTACGGTCGGAAGGGCAAATCCGAAGGGTAAGATCCATCATTCTTGATGCGGAAAACTTAAATCGCAATGGACAATTCTTTCCATGTTTCTTAGTCTTCGGACTTATCGTTGGGACCACAGACCCCTGGCTATCGGTTTTGGCAGGCAGAGTCAAACATGCGGCACTTACCGCAATAATAAGATCGTTTTTATGACTTACCACTTAAGTCGAGACGTCTCTGCTAAAAGTTAATAAATTTCTAAGCGTTATATCTCGAAAACTAATAAAAATCAGGTAAATATATTAAACCTTAATGAATTCGTGTTGAAAGACACTATCGCGTGATGGAAAAAAATATAGCTTCATTTAAAAAGTGAAACTCCATCATTATATCTTTTACATTAGTAACATCGTAAATTTTGTTTACGCCAAAACATAAAGCCTCTTTTATCCTGCAATTTCCATATAAACACTTTTTCATGTCATCAATAATTCATGAAATATCACGGGGTCACACTTAGACGTGGACACCCTGTACGATAAAACTATTGTATAGTTAATATGCAGTAGCAAAATGTCTTATATTGGTATTATTAGCGTTAAGTTAGGTAAGAGTTAGCTGCTATACTATACATTTAATCTTTTTTTAAAGAAAAAACTAATGAATATTTTTGTATATAACCATCATATTGTAGGTTTGACTTTTTATAATTTTGTAACAAATAATTATCCATATTAGCCTTTTTGGGTGTTATTCAAAACCACCATCTTGACAATATCAATTATAAAAAGTACAAATTAGTAAATGTAATTCACTTTCTATAGTGAAATTTTTACTATGCAAGGATATTTTGAAAAAATATCTCTAACATCATTACATCATCATTAATCACTGTTTTCTTTTACTTTTAGTTGGCGAAGAAAAGAAATAATGGATACTTATTATATAATGTACCAGACATAGTGATAAAAGATTTAAATAGTTGTGATGCAAATTCTCTTTTAAATGTTAATAATCATTATAGTTTCTTACCTTATAAATGGATATTAAATAAATCTGGGCTTAACATAAATACAAAAATGGTAAGAAACAATATATTTATTGTATGCGATAAATTTATAAAAAAATTTAAAATAGATAATATTGAAATCACTTTTTTACTCTTTAATATTAAATTTCAAACTGTAAAAATCACATCTTAATAATAATTATTTTTTTCAGGATGCTATAAGAGTAGCTTTACATTACTATCCATCCGTAAAAGAATTTATTAGCACATTTCAAACTTGACGAATTTAAGTCTAAAAAAGTATGTATTTGTTTTTAATTAATTTTTAAACATAATTATAATGAAGTATTTCTGGTATAACAGCATCGTATGATTTCAATATTCCTTTACTATTGTTGGAGCATGATTTTAAGCAGCTTTTTTCTTACGCAAAATCGATGAAGACTTTTTTTAATTAGATTAGATTTTTAAGTTTTAATTTATTCTAATTTTTTAATTTACATAAATGTTAAAATTTGAATGTACATATTTTACATTATAAAATTATAACAAAAATGATTAAATAATTTTATTGGATATAAATAAATTTTATGAATATTAATATTAATAAAATAATTAGTATAATAAATTATAAAGTTTATTAAAATAAAGAAAATTAATATGAAATGTATTTAAGAAAAAGTAAAAATAAAATTAAAATAATTTATTCAGTTCTGGAGATATATGTATACTGAAATAATTCGGTGAACTTTTAGCTTCAATAACTTCTTAACGAATAAGTTTAGGTCTTATTTATGTTAGTACTTAAAGAAAATAAGTGCAGTTGCATTTTTCAGGTGCACCTATGCATAAAAGCGCATAAAATTAATTGCATATTATGTACTGTCTAATATGATTTAACTTTTACACATAAAATTTTCTATTCCTAATTGTTTACGAGGTACAGTAAACATTCGATATATGTAAATCTATTAGCTCTGAACTGTCGCTTATACCATGTAGTTCTTACATTTATTAATGTTTTGCCGAACGTAGAAAAGTAGCACGTTATTGGTGAAATAATCCTAATGTAAACATAAAACATTTTTATTTTTTATTTTTTTCTTATGAAACCTTCATCAAAATATTTGCGACATTTTCCCGACTAAAATGAGACCACACTAATAATTTGTTACAAGTAAATACATGTCAGGTTTGATTTCATTTTAATCAGAAAAACGTCACCAAAGTTGGTAAAAGTTGTATAAAAAAAATTTGCAACATGTTGCAATTAAGAACAATACAACAGACTTTTAATTGATCAATTACCACAATAGCAACGTCACTTCTTTCTTATTCGCTGTCTTCCACTGCGTTAAAAATATTTATCATCAAATAAACCAATTAATATAGTCTAATTTTTATCAGATAAATGTTACGCTAATGTTGGTAAAAGCTTCATAAAAAGAAAATCAAGAATACAAAAGTTTTACACTTGTATTAATATTGTCTCACAGATCAGATTATGAACCAGGTTCACATTACATTTTTCGGCAAGCAAGCTTCTGGACTTCTCGAACGGGTCTTCTCCTCAAGTGGTGGGGAAAACATTTTCGTTTATGTCGAATCTTTACTGTATGTAACATAATAAATATAAATTGCGTACTTTTGATATCTTCCATATCTGTACATTCATATCTATATATGTATATCCCATTTGGGCGTTGTTTATATACAAAAAATATATAACTAACAATTTGAATATTTTTGATAAATGTTCACTTTACAGAAGCCACCTTTAATTTAAATAAAGTTTAAATCTGATTTTTAATTACTTTTTAATAACTTTTGTCAAGTTCTTTAATTTTTGAGATATTTAGAAAACATTAACATGACAACCAATAATCTTACATGCGTTGACGATCGCTATTGAAAGCTATACTAATAATGTAGGTCAAAATTGTAAGTTAAATCTTACTTCAGTAAAATGAAACATTGTTTAATTGTATTAAATTTGGCTTCATAATAAAGTTCGTTCCCTAAAATGCTTGCAAATATTATGAATTTTATATAAATTTATAATTAAGAATTATTAAAAATGTTTTTGTTACTGCTAAAACATGGTACATGTATGAAGAAATACATATAACAGGAGTCTAAACTTTTCCAATTTCCATTATTACTAACTTTTAGATCGGACATACTAATCAAGATGTAATTAGTATGCAAATTAAAAATGTATAAAATTTTTATAGTAATGGAAACATAGTAAGGTGATGTATGTAAATTTTTTAAAGTATATTAAATAACCTTATAACAGAATTTATATAATTTATGACTACTTAAGCGCAAAATAAATTTGTTTAAATTAATTGATTATGTTTTATTTTTTCTGATTTACATACAAATTTTCATTTACAGTTTATGCAACAGTCTTTAGTATGTATCTGTCTAATGAAAAGTTACATATAAATTATCATGAACACCTATCATGAAATGGGTTCATAACTTACAAACTATATGCTTTTTTTATACATTTTTAAATTTGTCTTACTTAATTCATGCATTATATTTAGTGTATACATTGCAATAGATTGAAAAATTTCTATTTTCGTTTAAAAATAGTCATTCAATAATACATTATACAGTACGCCTTACTTTAAAAACAGTGAGTGTGAACATCTCTTAAATTTAAAATTTGTAATGTTCCATTAGACATATCTAAATTCATATTGCTTCTAGAAGAGGCCATGCTATTAATGTAATATTTGTCTACATGGATACATCTATAGCTTTTACATTATATATAATATATGTTATTGTTATTATTAATAAGCTATTGAAAAATTATTGGGAAGAAATGATTTTAAAATAAAGTACTAAATGTGAATAATTTGTAAACCAAAAAATTATTACAGCAAAAAATACATGTGAAATTGATTTCCGGAAAACGTATAAATGATGAGTATATTTTTAATAATAATTGTTAATGTAAAATTATTAACTCAGTACTTTAATACTGAATTAAATTAAAAATTCATTCTAAATATTAGTATAAATAATACAATACCATTATTATATTAATATAATACCATTATCTGTCTACATCTTTTTTTTTAATTCTAAAATGTTGCTGTTATATGATATTGTATTATCATACTAAGAAAAATGATTTAAACATTGTAAATACTTAGATCCACAATTGTAACATCAAGAAATTAGCATTTCTATCGACCATAATGTATTGTAAACTAGTACTAATTTTAATGAGTCGTTCGAGCCTATAAAGCATTACTTAATATCGTAACATTAGTATCTTTTAAAAATGGTTTACATTGAATAGAGAGTGAACCGAGTTCAAATAGTTTTAGGATAACTATGTATGCCGGTTTATGTGTAGCTATTTATATATATAAAAATATAATAATCAATAAAGCTTAATACAAATAAATCATAATTTACTGTTGACACATTCTTTGTTTATAAATATTATGGATATATAGTACATACGGAATTGACAGAGAATGTTCACCTCTACCAAAATTTCTAATGCATCTATTTTTGTATAATTTAACATTGAAATATTCTGAAAAATTACTTATTACGTGCTGTTCTGAACAGTGTAATTAAATTTAATCAATCTTGAGCAATGTATTCATGTTACTTATACTATTTTAAGTTTTAACATGCTTTCATGAACTGTCTTTGGTGTACATATATATATTTTCGGACTAGAAAATAGTTGTGTCAAAGGCCCGGAATGTAAATCTCTTTGTAGAAATAATAATGTACATTGAATTTAGCAAATTTGGTAAAAGTGCACATTATTTTACATATTTTGAATAACCGAAACCATTTTTGTTTGCTCTATTGAATGAATTACAGTATAATATAATTACAATTATTCATTTGAAGTGGATAGAATGTGCAACACAAAACAATGTTTGATATTAAAAATATACACATCTAAAGGTCAATAAAAAATACAAACATGTATAGCAGTGTTTGATAGTTATACTGCGTCTGTTACCTTAAATACGAAGCCTAATAGCAGTACAGTACAAAGATAGCAGATAAATTATAAATTACTGTTAAGAAAAATTTATTGTAGATATATAACGATACAGTAATAAACCATAATAATATCTTATTGTCATGAATTCGATAAAATCATTGAAGCTATTATGTCCTTTGTAATTAAACTATTAAAATAGCATTACATAGAGTTTGAAATTGGCAGTTTAATAGTAATAAACAGTGATTTATTTAAAACTTAATTTGAATTATATGTAATACTAATAAAACCACTGCAGTTCCATATTGACATTAAGCTGAATTTGAGTGCAAATTCATTGCTAACTGTATCAACAACTTTTGATGAGTATCAATGAAATATAATGGAAAAAATAATAATGTATGATATCAAAAGGGAAAGTTTTATTATTATTAGTGATTGAATCTCAGAAAAAAAGTCTATTTGGCAGTTATAATTGGAAAAATGTGTAAAGAATCATGTAAACATAATAATTTATTTTAAATATAGTGAAGAAAATATATCCCATTTTTAAATTCTTTCATGAAAATGATATGAATTTTTAATAATGATTACCTTATTTTTTGTATTTGATATAAAACTAGTAAATGTTTCTGTACTCCATGCATACAATCGTACATCAATAGTATTATAAGGAATTCCCAGTACTTAAAGTTATTATCACAATATTTAGTTTTCATGATATAACATAAAAAAAATATCTTGCAGTATTAAAAATTCATAATGTGCGTTACAATCCATTAACAAGTACTATGAAATATCCTTTATTGCTTGTTGCAAAAACATATGCTTATTTAGAGAAAGTATTGTGTCACTGAACTTTTTAAACAATTTAATCATATTTTGAAGTTAATGGAACAATGCCAGAAATTTGTATATTATCTGAAGACTTGGATTAATAAAGTAATCAACTACTTTCTGTAAAACATGTTATGTGAATAGACTTCATTTTAATTTGAATAAAATAATAGAATGTATGCAATATGTTCACAATAAAATGCAGCTTTTTAAAAATATTTTGGCTTTTTAGAAATCAAGGAAAAACAAATTGATTACATTTATAATACAATGAGTAAATATCGATTTGTGTAATGTTTTTGTAAAAATTTTGAAACTATCGAAAATTTTGTTATTTGAACGTATATTAATATAATTTCAAAAATATTAGATATTTTACATAACGAATGCTTTTAAATTATATTTAAAGATAATGAAATGTAGATATAAATAAAACAAATACATATGTTAATATTTCATAATGTGATGATTCTGACACTGTTACCATTTCAAAAATAACAATTTTCATCCGTTCAATTATGTTTTATGTAGATATAATTAAACAAAATAAACCTAATTTGTTTATATAGTTTCTCCTTGATATTAGAAATTTTGTCAAAGTGAAGTCCTCAAGTTTTGCATTGAATACAATAAGGGCAGTGACTATAGCTTCTTCGTAGGAAATTTGTTTAATGTACAATCAATAAACCATAAGAAGTTACGAAAATTTAACTAAGCTTAGTGTACGAATAGTATTTTGTATGGCACGAGGTACAGATTAATATTTATTATGATATTTAAAGGTATTGCCAATATCTTTTTACACCCACATTCTTGTGATATGAAAAGAAAATAATTAATGATATATATGATTAGTAACAATTATAAAGTACGCATATTATGTAATAATCATTGAGAAATGTACAACTGATTGCGTACTGATTTATCTGATTAACTTGTTTTATTTACAAATATATCTTACGAAAAATTCACACTATTATACTTAAATGATTGAAAAATAGGTGAAAAAGATTTCTTACATTACAATTACTTATATAAAATTTTGTTTTACATATAATAGCAATTTTTAATGTAGAACAGAATTTAAAAATAACCATATGTCAGTCAAGCTTCTCATATTTAAGACGTATCAGATTTTAATTGCTGAATATTTTCAGAAAGAAATATCGTAATATTTATTATTCTTCGAACTATAATATATATCAACAATAAAAATAACATGATTCAAATGCACTTATCATCATGAGGATACTGCAAGCGATAAATAAATAGTGATTAAGATCTTATATGCAGATGATTGCATGTAAGAAATTATAAGTAATATGTTACCAAAATCTACTCTATTTTCTAAACCTTTGTTGCAACACCTAAAACATTCAGTGTAATATTTCAATTTATTACAATTTATGATTTATATTAAGCATATTTTATAGTAACAAAAACAAGAAATTTAACTGACAAGTTATAATAACTAAAATTCAATTTTGAAGCTAATGTCTGTACAAAGTTATAATTATAAATAATGAAACCACATTTCAGGGTACTACAATCAGGCCTATGTAATTTTCTCATATGTTCTCAATAAATTTAATATGCATTTTATATTATGTCTTCTACTGACAATGTAAATAGACATGAAACATAATACTATCTGAAAGGAACATTGACTATTAAATTACTTTCATAATTTAAAAAAAGAACTTTACAATATGCAATTTTTTCGGTCTTTTTATGCATAATAGCTCCCAACATGATTTTGAAATTAATATACCAAATTATATACGACTTTTTTGTATTTACTATAGAATACAAAAAATCATTATAAAATATTTCATGTCCACTGAAACATGTCACTACAATAAAAAAAATTAATTGTTATAATAAACGAAAATTTTAGTTTCTTAGATGTCACTTTGATCGCTTTATCTCAAATTTTGAACATCCATCTTTGGCACAGTATGTTAATTAGGCAAAAATAGGTTATACCTACAGTAAGAAGTAAGAAGTGAAGAAATAAAATAAAAGACAGCAAAAATATATATGCTTCCATTACTGCCAAAATACTTCAGGACATAATGTGTCAATTGTACATAACAAAAAAATTTAAGAAGCATATATCACTTCATTGCCTAAATCATAAAGAAATATAATTACTAATAAATTTCATTTTAAAACTGTTTGTAATTACTTAAATAAACTAAGTTCTGTCAAAAAGAAAATATATGAAAAGAAAAAATGAAAACTTTAAATGAAAGTCGAAAAAATTGATTTCTAGACAAAATGATTATGTGTTCAATATTATTTTTATATATATCATTTACATGTACATAGATATATACATGCATGTGTATGAATATATCTATGTACTTATGTATATTATTAACGAAAGTAAATTATGACAATATTATTGTGACGATGAAATTCAGTTCAGTTGATTTAATGTTAATGTAACTATAATTAAAGTACTTATGCATACTTATTTGTCTCTAGCACTCACACATAGTTCCTTTTCACAAAGAGAAAACATGTTCCACTTCACTCTTTATGATAACACTTTTATACACAAACTAGTATGTATCTACTTTTCCAAGAACAAGATATAACAGTTTCACAATTAACAGAAGAGCAACAAAGTAAGTAGCTCAGTCCCAACTGGCATCACTCTCAACCTCTTCTTCTTCATCCTCCTCATCCGAAAACATGGTATCATATATATACTCTGGATCATTTAGGAACTTATCACGATTTCTTTTATTTAGTCCCGATTTTCGCTTTTTCGTAGTTAAGGCAAGTTCATCTTCTGCTGTTCTTTCTTTACGAAACTCATAGACTAGTGGATAAATATATTCAATTGCTGCTTGAACAGCAGCGACATTAGGAGCTGTAAAAATTACAATACATTTAATAAATCAAAATGACTGGAGATGAACATAATTTTTAAAGCAAAATAATTTAAAGTGAATCATATTACAAACCTGTTACGGTAACGCTACCTGTAGAAAATATCTTCAATGTAGCTTTTGGTTCTTTCAACTTATATGTAACACCAGGATGTAGTTCTGGCTCATAACTAAATGAAAAATATAATGATTGTTAATAAATACAAATATAACATAGTACAAGAAAATGTATTTGTATTTATATCATACAATATACTATATGTATATATAAGAGTGTATACATATATATGTTACATCGCATATGTATTTAAAAAATGATATAACCCAAAAAGTATATTACCCAATTAATATGTACATGTAATCATCCAGTTAAATGTGTATATAACAGATGCAAAATTTTATTCATTTATTATTATTATTGTCATAATAAAATGCATTTATAGAACGTAGTAGAGAATTCCATACAAATCAAGAAAAAACACAATGATTGCTCCTTATGAGTTAAATTAGGAAGATATATGGATAAGAATTTCATAATTATTTGAAATGTGCTTCTACAACGGTTTCATAGTGATAACTCAAAAATTACGTTTTTAGAAATATGTCACTTTGGAAATATATATAGAATACGTATATACATAATATATTACTTATACTTAACATACTTACTCTGCATTTTCTTTATGGTACAATGAAAATGATGTTATCTTGATTGCGAATGGCATGCAACATGTACCCAATACATTAACTACTCTATAATTATTAAATCGCACTTTAAATCCAAGTTTCTGAAGTGAGCGAGCAAATCGACGTGCTGCAATCTTTGCTTGAACTTCACTAGTTGCACCAGTACATGTAACTTTACCAGAAGACCATATAGAAGCAGTGGTATAGGGTCTCCTCAGTTTCATTGTTATCATCTATAACAGGTATAAATGCACAAAAAACACTGTCCATAATTATTGTGTAATATACATTGAAAATAAATTATTTTTCTCAATGCAAAATTAATAACTTTCATTGCAATATTGTATCATAAGCAGAAAGTATTTGTACCTTCAAAAGGTTGTATTTTATATGATTTTGTTTTCATTTTTAGGTAAAATAGGAATAAAACTTAACTTTATCTGAATTATTATAAAATAAACTAGGGAATCTTAAGTAATATAAAATTGATGTATGATCAAAAACTGTTTTAATTTACGAAAAGACTATTATAATTTAATCATAATATAAGGATTTCAAAATTATTTATAATTAATAGCTTCAAACTTTTTTCTTGTTAATTACATTCTTATTTAATACAATTTTGAATTGAATCTGAACTGTTAAAATACATGAAGAACAATGCTATAATTTGATTAGATTATAACTTTGTAGTAAGCGAAGTAAAAACAAATTATATAACAAAACTTATACATGGTTTATAGTACTCTAAGGACAATTGTAGTTCTTTTTAAAATGCAATTATATGATCTGTTTTTGCATAAATGGATTTTTTAAATTATTTTACGTACAAAAGGTGTTACTGTATACTTTACAAAATACTTCATTTTTCATATGATTATCACTTTGCATAAATAAATAATCTTTATTTAAAAACTAGAATTTCATAGATTTTTCTGTACATTATGATAATGGAAAAGAAATATTAGTGAACTGTGTAGAAAATATCTATGCAAAAAGAAACTTGCTCAACACACTATGTATAAGAAGGAAGTATACAACAAAATTATATGGTACTTTTATGTTTTCTATGTGTCATTAGATTCAAATAAACAAATAGGATTTACAAACAAATGATTCTACTGTGTACTTTTTGATGCAGTTTTCTATTTCATCTTGTACAATGATTACACACAAGCAGAACTACAAGCTATTAAACAATTAACAAATCTAATAAAAGACCTAGAAAAAATTTATAAAAAAAATGTTTAAAGTATACCAATGAGATGTTTCAATATTTGTTGCAATAATAATTTTTCACAATGGAATTTGAAATATACTCTAAAATATTGAGTATCTTAAGATCATTTAAGATCTTAAAATTCTAAAAAGAAACAGTTCAAAAAGAGTTTGCAAGGATACAGATAAACCAATCTAAAAAATGTCATGCAAGGATAAAATGTATTAAATCATGTAAATTTTTATCTTCACTTACAAATTTTATTTTCTTAAAATAATAAAAAGATGTAGTGTATAAAAAAGTTGTACAAATTCAAGGAGAATGCGGTATGAAGACAATGATTTTAGTGTGGGTAGAAACTTAAAGGAAATTTGAAGATCAATCTCATGCTTTTAGTTTTAATATAGATTAATTTTTTTTATTTCTGTTATGTTAGATAAAATTATAAAACCTAGAAAAATAAGTGTTTACAAAAAACTGTAACTTTATAGTTTCAATTATACATTTACATTTATTTCTAAGAAAACTATCTTTGTTTATTTCATTTGTAAATATCTTGTAAACTATTAACTTTTAAAGCAACTCCCCTTGCTTACACATATAAAAGAATGAGAAATTCAAACTATAAGAAAAAATGAACTTGACCTTAAACCATATATTATTACCGTTCATAAGTATCCGGACACGAGTGAAATATGTATTCGCGTTGCATAAAAGTTATTTAATTATCTGCAACAGTAATTAAAATCGATTTTTTTTTCTGCCAGGGTCAGAATACTGGAACGTTTTTCGATTGATAATTCTTGTTTGGAACTCATGTCTCGATGGCAAAGAGGCTACAGACGAACTAAACCGAAACTGGCGAGTGCATAGCGTTACCTCCATTCTTATCTCCATTGAGGGAACCTGAACGTCTATACAGCTTACAAACATTTGAAACATATCGAAGAACTCTTTGAATACGTTCTGCATCATAGAAATGAAACAAAGTAGAAATTGAGTTTTTTTTTAGCATCGAAAGCGTTCCATTAGATTTTACTTTTACACTCTCGTTGTATAATTTGTACTTAAAAATTAATTCTATTACGTTATGATACTTCAAAAAAGATAATAATAATTATTACAAATGATATAATAGCCCTAAATACCTTTCGTACAAAGTTCAACTATGTTTCATGTAACGAACCCAAGTGTCCGGATACTCATACAGAGTTCAACTATGTTTTATATAATGAAAGAAAGTGTCCAGATACTTATGAACAGTAGTGTATATATATTTGATCATATTGAAATCATCATCATCATAGTGAATAATATCTTTTTGTATTATATCAAATAGTAGACCTCAATTTTTTTCTTTTAATTTATGTTATGTATAAGGTAGAGTATCTCCTTACATAAATCTTTATAAGATTTTAATAAAACACTTTACATAGAAAAATAGAAAAAGAATATACACTAATGAGCTCTTAAATGCTTTATTGAAAAGTTATAAGTATAAAATGATATTTAACTGTTGCATTGAAAAGTATTAATATAAGCATAAAATGATAATGAATTGCTTCCATGTACAATACTCCATAGGAATAGATTATCAATTTACATTAATATACTTCAAAATGTTGTCTGTTTGTAACTTTAATAAAATTATGAATTTATGAATGTAGTACTGGCATCTATAGAAAATGGAATCCAGTGTACTATTGATCTTTTGTTCATTTTCTTTAACAGCTGCAAATATATTATAAATTCTTTGCATTCATTTCTGAGATGAAAAGGATTTTAATTGATAAACTTTTTCTTTTATAGTTTGCAATAAATAGATTCTATTTTCCAAACATCAACATCCATTATAATTGATATCATTTTTTAAATGAAGATATAATATGAATCAGCAATCTATTCTTATATACTATTAAATGAAAAGGCAGTCCATTGTAGTTTTATACTTTTATTAGAACTTTTTAATAAATTATTTAAGAGTCTATTTTTATATAATACTTTTTTTCTTACTTTTACTTGTAGAATATATTGATAATGTTCTTTAGAAAAAATTTGAAACTCCCTGCACATTTAATATTTTATTAATAAAAACACACAATAAAATTATTTTTAAACATACCCCACTTTCTCTCCTGTATTCCACATTAGATCCATTAAGTGCAATTTCTCGTAAATTTAAATGACATCTAACACTAAAGCTGCAAACTACATTATTGATAACAATATCCAATTCTCGAGGTTCTTGTTCAGGAGTATCCACATAAGGTTGGATCTGTCTATCAAATAGTCTTTCATCTTGTTCTTCTTTACATATATCTGTATTGTCTAAATTATTTACATCTTCTACATGATTTATTGATGAATTTGTTAAAGGTTTCACGCCATTCTTCTGAATAGCAGTTGCCATAATATATATCTGGAAATAATAAAAGTAATACTCATATATAATATACCATACTGTATGACCTTAAATATTTAAAATTTTATACAAAAATGAAAATCAATAGAATTACACATTATCAAATATAATATGCTTCACTATCATATCACAACAATTAAAACAATGTTAATATTGTAATGAATACATATAAATTTATACCTTTATTTTAAATTTGATTTTGAGTCACATTACTTCTTTTTATTCGGATTCTTATTTTTTGATATCAACTCTGTTTATGTTATGTACACAGAAATAAAAATTTTTTGATTTATATAAAATTGATCACTGAAAAATAGTTGCATTTAAAAAAGAAGTTATGATTTGTAAAACAGGAAATAAGTTTCATGTTTTCCAATATAAAAATTAAATTAATTAATAACATTTTGTATAAAATATTACGGAAATGTTATAAAACATTACATGACATTATTGTGACATGAATAGTATATATTAAACAGGCAATTGTGTTTAAAAATATGGGTTGATATTTATATAAAGAAACAATAGGTTTTTAAGCTAAATTGAAATATCCTTAAAAGTAATTTTCAAGTTACCAAGATTGAAAAATTGCAAAAATTTGCAAACATTTAAAACATTACGTTCACAAAAAGGTATCGACATAGAGTATAAAACATGATAAAATACATTTTCGACGCGTTAGCCAACGTCTGATTGAAAAACCTTCTACTTAACATGAGATGAAATGACAGCGAGAGAAGGTAAAAAGCATAATTCCCATTTCTCATAAGCATTAAATAGTCCTCCTATCAAATTAGGAGATTAAAATTTTTGGTAAAGGTAATAAATAAAATAGGAATTGTACTCACCTATGACTATGTTATATGCTTCAGTTGCTTTTTAATTAAAGATAACTTCTTTGTTGACAAGTAGTAAGAGAATGCAAAGTTAGCTCAATAACTACTGCCATTGTTTTCGGCCATCTTCACTAGACTGGCTACAGATCAAAATTACGAACGCGGCAACACTGAATTCAGTAAAGATACATAAAGGTTAATATTCATTGATCGAATATTGAAGAAACATGTATATTTGTTATTTCGTTTGTAATTTTCTTCCAAACCTGTATTTTTTCACCTGTTATTGCTTAATATTAACATATATGGTTGTTATGATTTTAATTTCTGTAGTTTTTCAAATACAAAAATAAAAATATTGGCTATTTTATATATCAAGAAATATTCCCCTAGACGAACACGTTTTCATTTTGTTTGTGCACATCAATTTACTTTCATTCTTAATACTCAGTAATCTATGGCAATGCGCATGTGCTTTTATAACATTTCTGACGCCGAAAATATATACTCAGCAAACAAAAAGTTTTTTGATTTCCAATTCTTATTGATTATGCCATGTTTTGTTCGTGGTACGAAATATTTTCTTTCTATATTTTTTATGAATATATTTAAAAAATTTGAATATAATAAATTCTATCTTGTAAATTTATTGCTTGATCATCAATTCCCGTAATTCATTTATTTCTCTCCAGCGTGTATATAACTATGAAGATTAAAAACAAGGTATACAAGAATATGGGTCTAAAAGAGCTAAACCATGGTGGAAAGAAATATATTTACAAAAGCAGTATACAATTACATATAGCAATATACAATTTCGAACACAGTTACCGAAAGAATGCATTATGATTATAACATTCATATCAAAAAAATTTATATTAAGAGAACGCAATTCAGCTAAATTTAAAAAACTCGCTTCTACCTAAAATTGTCTCACTACTATACGCTTTTAATCCGCCCGTTATATATATATATATATATATATATATATATATATATATATATATATATATATATATATATATATATATATATATATATATATATATATATATATATATATATATATATATATATATATATATATATATATATATATATATATATATATATATATATATATATATATATATATATATATATATATATATATATATATATATATATATATATATATATATATATATATATATATATATATATATATATATATATATATATATATATATATATATATATATATATATATATATATATATATATATATATATATATATATATATATATATATATATATATATATATATATATATATATATATATATATATATATATATATATATATATATATATATATATATATATATATATATATATATATATATATATATATATATATATATATATATATATATATATATATATATATATATATATATATATATATATATATATATATATATATATATATATATATATATATATATATATATATATATATATATATATATATATATATATATATATATATATATATATATATATATATATATATATATATATATATATATATATATATATATATATATATATATATATATATATATATATATATATATATATATATATATATATATATATATATATATATATATATATATATATATATATATATATATATATATATATATATATATATATATATATATATATATATATATATATATATATATATATATATATATATATATATATATATATATATATATATATATATATATATATATATATATATATATATATATATATATATATATATATATATATATATATATATATATATATATATATATATATATATATATATATATATATATATATATATATATATATATATATATATATATATATATATATATATATATATATATATATATATATATATATATATATATATATATATATATATATATATATATATATATATATATATATATATATATATATATATATATATATATATATATATATATATATATATATATATATATATATATATATATATATATATATATATATATATATATATATATATATATATATATATATATATATATATATATATATATATATATATATATATATATATATATATATATATATATATATATATATATATATATATATATATATATATATATATATTTATTGTTTTTTTATCTTCATGATTATATATACGATAAAAAAAAAATAAAGAATAGCAAGAACAGATAATGATGTGATAAATGCGTCAGAACAAAGTTATATTATACTTTGTTGATGTATTTCTAGAATGTAATCGTGTATTACTAATATAACAATTTATACTAAATCGAAGTTTTTATTAAAAATTGTATAACTCTTTCTGGTTGTAAGCGTTTTGGGCATATTTATTTCGTTGATCGAAAATGCTATCGCACGCTTAGGTGTACATATACTGGATTAATTATATCCATGAAATTTTGAGTATTTAAAAATAGTTTTTCGTTTAATAGACGGAACGCACTAGAAGATCAACCAGCATTCAAAATCGTAAAACTTTCTGTCCGCAAGTATATGTATATTTTTTATATAATCATAGTTTCAACTACACTTACGTATCATCACAGACTACATAGTTCAGTTAAGATGCGCAAAAAGAATGATCTTTGCCATCTAGTTATATCTAGAAATTTTGAATTATACCATCAATTTTATTGGAGCGAACAAAATTTCTGACATTCAATTCAAATCTTCAGTCAAATTCCATTTAATTAATAGAACTAAAAAGTGCAACACGTATTCTTTATATAATAGAGATTCAAATATTAGAAATTAAATTATTAAACTCGGTTCTAATTTAAATAGTTCAATTCAGTTTTTAATTAAATAGTTTAGTTCTGAAGTTGATTTTGTTTAAATTTAAATTAAAGAAAATTATAGTTTTATCTTGTTGTTCAATTTTATTCAATTCATTTTTAAACACGGAACATCGTAAGCAGAGCGCCCTTAATGATTACACCAAAATTCCCCACAAAATTGTGATGAAACGCAACATTACGATTACTAACGAATTTTTGTGTCATGACAGTTGGTCATATGTACATTGGTCTTGTGATTTTAACAGCTGAGAAAGGTGCGAATGTGCGACAAATAGAACTTTAATTTTATATAACTGCAATATTAATTGAAATATACGATTTTTAAAAAACGACAGCAAAAATGGTGGACCGTGCGAATATCAAAGAAATAATACCTGCTCTACCCGATGAAAAGATTGGTAAGTTTTTTAAAAATATAATTTTAATTTGATAATTTGACATTGCCCCTCCCAATAATATATTGTGTTTATATGACTTATAAAGGTAATATATACTTATGATATAAAATTTAACGTGTTATTAAGAAAATATACTTTTCCCGTCTCTCTCTGTAATATTTATAAACGCAATAAATTTATTATTCTGTACATAAATTTTTACATATTGCAGTTAAAGATTCATATGATGATTGGAAGTATATAATTTTCATATTTTTAAGTATCTAATATATGATGTGATGTAGATTTTCCTTTTCTGTAATATTTTTTATTTATTGTATTATGAGCATAGTTATTTCTTGTGAATATTTATATATAAATTAAAATTAATACCTTTTTCAGATTTCGAAATTTAATTGCATAGATTTTTTAGGTATATTACTTATATATTTAAAATATATAATAAGAAATTACATACATTTTCAAATAGTTACATCAACATTCATTGAAAAATACTTAGCTTAAAATTGTTATGGAACTGGTTTGCTTTTTATAATCTCAAGAAGAGTTAATAATCTGTCGTTACTGGTACTATTATTTTTAATAATATTTGAAATATTTCAGACATGCTGGCAGCTACGAGCATTCTTCAGCAACAAGCTGCTGACATTAGAAATCAAAGAATCAATTGGCAATCATATTTTCAGTAAGACAAAAAATTACAAAAATTATATAAATAAATTGAAAATAACTATATATTGCATTTTTTATTTATTTTTCATAGATCTCAAATGATATCAAAAGAAGATTATGACTTCATAGTAGCTTTTGATACAAGTGATACTAATACTCGTGAAACAAAATTGAAAGAAAATCCACATCAGGCTGCTAAAACTTTTCTTAACTTACTTGGTCATGTTTCAAAAGACCAGACTATACAATATATTCTTACAATGATTGATGATATGCTTCAGGTATTAAAATTTATTTATACCAAAGTATTATGTACTTTATTTTTGGGAAATAATTGTAAATATTATGTTAAACATTAGGAAGATCGTAGCCGTGTAGAAATTTTTAGGGAACATTCAAGTCGCAAACGTGAATCAGTATGGGGTCCTTTCTTAAACTTATTGAATAGACAAGATGGATTCATAATGAATATGACTTCTCGAATTATTGCTAAACTTGCTTGTTGGAGTCATGATTTGATGGAGAAAACTGATCTACAATTCTACTTAACATGGCTTAAAGATCAGTTAAAACTTAGTGTAAGTTCCCAAATATATATTTATTGATATATATAATATACAAAAAATGTTAATTATAAGAAGTTCCTAAAATACATTATTCATCATATTATTAATACAAAATTATATGTTTTTTATTTGTTGCTTAGCTTTACATAATATAGTTATGTGTGTGCACAATATGGGTGATGGTCATCATTATTGTGAATATAATAAAATTTTATAAATTACATTATACATATTATACAATATTCAATATATTTCATTAAATAAAATTACATACACTCCCTTAGAAGCATTAAACACAACTTTTAAATGTATATTTTTAAAAATGCATATAAATATTTAACTAACATACCATAAAAAAAACATAAATGCATTGTAACATATATTGTGCATATAATAGGTATTGCTTTTTGCAAGGTAAAGGGTAGATAGCAAATGTTAAATCATAATAATTTGAATGCATAAATAAGTCACACGGGATTTTAGTTTGAGGCTCTTCAGGACACAAACTTGCATGTGGGAATAGAACAAAACATCGTTATGGACGAGGATGCAAATGAGCTACGTGAACTACAAAATCCGGTTGGTTCAATAACGCCTGATTATTAACATAAATAGAAATCATGTTGTTACAATTTTTTCGTCTGTCCTCATGTGTAAAGTTTAAGTATGTAATACATAGAATTTTAATCTTAATTTAATCTTATAATTTTTCATGCAAGTAAAAAGAAATTTGATTAAATCATATATAAGTAATTGTTCTGTATAAAAAATTGTTCTTTTCAGAAGAAGATTATAGTAATTTTGTATCATATTTTAGATTTCACATTAGACTATATTTTCATTATAAATATAAAATTTCTTGTGCAGGCATATTTACATCGAAAATGAACGTATTATTTTATCTACCATGTGCACACACATAATTTGGACATATTTATTATCCCGTTATTTAATTGTACTTATACTTTTGAAAAATTATATATATTTTTTCGTGTTTATTCAGAATAACGACTACATTCAGTCTGTGGCACGTTGTTTACAAATGATGCTTCGCATTGACGAATATCGTTTCGCGTTTGTATCAGTTGACGGAATTTCTACTTTATTGGCCGTTTTGACAGGCAGGGTAAACTTCCAAGTGCAATATCAACTTATATTTTGCATATGGGTACTTACTTTCAATCCATTACTAGCAGAAAAAATGAATAAGTATGTACTGTTTCTACTATAAAATTAATTTATAAAAGAGTATGTTAACAATGCTGTAATATTCGATTTTTATTTTAGATTTAACGTTATACCTATTTTAGCAGATATATTAAGTGATTCTGTTAAAGAAAAAGTAACACGTATTATTTTAGCAGTATTTAGGGTAAGTTTTATAATGAATTTTTATTCTATTTTTATTATTTCCTTCACTTATTTCTAGTATGTTATAGAATCTTATTGAAAAAGTGGAGGATGGGCAAGTTGCTAAGGAACACTGCATTGCTATGGTACAATGTAAAGTATTAAAACAACTTTCGATTTTTGGACAACGTAAATGTGATGACGAAGATATTACTGACGATATTGAATTTTTGAACGATAAATTGCAAGCATCTGTTCAAGATTTGAGTTCCTTTGATGAATATTCGACTGAAGTAAAATCAGGACGCCTTGAATGGTCTCCTGTTCATAAATCTGGTAAATTTTGGCGGGAAAATGCTAATCGGCTCAACGAAAAGAATTACGAACTGCTACGTATCTTGGTACATTTGTTGGAAACTAGTAAGGATCCTTTGGTTCTCAGCGTTGCTAGCTTCGACATAGGAGAATACGTGAGACATTATCCACGCGGCAAACAGTACGTTTAACAAAATATTCATATTGGACATTTTCAAAAGTTACTATTATTTATTAAAATTACGTTGAAATACATTATAGTATAATTGAACAACTTGGAGGCAAACAACGAGTGATGCAGCTTTTAGCACATGAAGATCCAAATGTAAGATATGAAGCCCTTCTTGCAGTTCAAAAACTTATGGTCCATAATTGGTATGTAATTTAAAATTGTTTATTTATCATAAAGTTATGATAGATAATGGCATGAGATTTTGGATGTTTAATTTGCAGGGAATATTTAGGAAAACAACTTGAGAAAGAACAAACTGGAACATCAAGTACTTCTGGGAACAAACCCAGCACACAAGTCCCAGCAAAAGCTTAAATGAACGCGCAAAGTTTTATAATCGTTAATTTTGCTTGAAATTTATACATTTTTTCTTGAACAGTTTACTTTCATTGTCTGTAAAAATATCTATAAAAACACGTTTCTGATATTAAAGTTATATTATAAAAATTACATTCCTTCGAATTGTAATATAGTTATATAAAAAATGTATATTCAACGCAAAATATATATAACTAATGTTAATGTGTATGATATAATAATAATTAGTAAAATGAACAGTGTATTTGTAGAATATTTTGTTGGGTTTGTAAGTAAATCATTTAACGGAATGTTAGAAAAAATAAAGTATTATTATAATTAGAATATAGTATAAAGCTACGTACATTCAATTGTTTTTCATTTCTCTACAAATGACAATTTCACATTAATATTACAAGATGTTAATTGTGTTACGAGATATCGAAAAATATATGGTATTTCAACTTCTTTTACGTGCTCATCATCGCTACAAAGACGACATCTAGTTTTGTCGATTAGGTCTGACTTATTTATATCTATTTCCATTACAGGGCCCAATAACGTGCCACATTTTTGACAAATCAAAGTCTGAAATAAAATCAATTATTTTTTACTATTTTTTTTATTAAAAATATGTGGGTAATTTAACATTATCGGATAACAACAGTATCAAATAACACTATGCACAGCATATCAATTTGGAGCTTACAGTTTAATGAAACTAACTATGTACATAAATATGTCATTGATAATCTTCATCAAAAATAGCTGCTACTTTACAAAATAAATAATTAATATCTGGTTTTCATTTTGTAAAGTATGTGTTATATAAAGTGTTACAAAAAAGATTGTATAAATTAAAAATTGTAAATTTTTCGGAGAATAAGAAATCAAAAAATTTATTATCATTCTCTTCTGCAGGGTGTTATCTGTAACATTACTCACGATTTTTCTTTCACTTGCAGCCGCCTTACGAAAAATTTAGAACAGTATTTGCAGGATATTAAATGCGCAAAAGACATTGATAAAGCAAAGGACCCCGCACAGATCTTATGGAAAATGGCCCCCGGTTAAATTAGCTGAATTTTTGATATGATGTAGTTCCTGATGTCCTGATCAAAAGTTCCAATGGGCTCAAGGTCGTAAGTTGAATAGTTTCCGAGATATGGAGGGTCAAAAGTCAATAATAATTTCTTATTCGAAACTACCACGTTTGAGCATATCTGAGTGTAAGAAGCACTGTTGCGCACTGTCCATTTACTTGATTCCTTAAAACCCAATGGTAGTACTGTGGGCCCTTAAAAAATATGACCCCTTGACCCCCCGACCCTTTAACTCCCCTTCAGGAGTCAAAATAAAAAATCGCGCAAAAGGTAAAAAATGATTCTCTTCTTCTTTCATCGTATAAACATGAAGCACCGTCGGCATTAGCATTACTCAGTGTGCACCACGAAGAGGTTGCTCGATCGGATTTTGCACACTATGTGGCCCTAAAAAGGGCCGTTTTTGTAGTTTTTTCTATTCCTCCGTTAGAATTTCAACGTTTATACTCTCTTGATACTCTCTATTAGCGGCATCTCTGGTCGTATTTAGAAGACTGCCATCCGGATATTTAATATGCTTTTGGTGACAAGCTACTTA